TTATTTATTTTCAGATTATAAGTAATCATGTCAATTAATGATTTCTGTAAAAAAAAAATCATTTTTGCAAAAAGCTTATATGCACTCTGCTAAAATGGACTTTTTTGTCCTCACGAGGAATATAAGTTATAAAAGGGTGTATGCATCTAAAATAGCCAGCAAGGCTTTCTCTGACTAAAATATGGCGTCAAGTTCACTTCTCTGCCCATACATGACAAATTGGCTAATATCGAAGACATAGTCAAGTGGTTACAGGCATCAGGTTGTGAGCCTGATGATTCAGATTGCAAAAATTGTTTTTTTTTTTGTTTGTTAAACTTTTATAATAAATTTTGTTTAATGAATGTTAAAAGTTCAGACGGGAATAAGTTTGCACGGGAATAATTATACTATTGAAATATTTCAGAAAGTGCCCAACAGTGCTCATTCTACTTGCGTGACAGGCTTTCATTGAAGCGTTACTCAGGGAACAATGTTAAACACCATTTTTGTACATGGTATTGTAACTAATCTTATATATGCTTCATTTTGGTTTGGGATAAGTGTTTGAACTTTGGCTCAGAAATTCAACTGTGGCGTGCTTCTATTGTGACATATCCATACGTTATTTTGTGGGACGACATAGTGGAAACGTGTGAGCGTAGTTGGATCATATACCCTATATAATTTAAAAATCAGCTAGGAAACTAACTTCAAAGTGAAGCATTTTAGTCACTTGAAGGTGTCACCTGGGACGAACTAATATATAATAAATATAGTTCACAGTTAAAAACAACTTGAAACACGTTAAATTTTAGATTACATGCACAAGTACAGGTACTTAATAAAGCATGGGTTAGAATTGATTAGAGATTTCAATTATTTATTAAATTATGCTAATGAGATATCATAATCATCAAACGAACTTAAATAAGAAAATTTAGACAGCCTAATAACATTAGGTAGATTAACAAAAGAGTTAGGATGCGGGGGGTGCGCTTAGGGAGGCAACTACCCAACTAACATTTTCAGCTATATAAGCCAACTTTTCCAGCATTGTGCTGTAAAGTAGCTGAAAAACAGCTGCAGATACAGATACAAGCAGGAGCTAGCAAAATAGTTTTGGAGAGCGTCCCAACTAACAATTTTCGCAATGTAAACGCTTCACTCATTTCATTTATACAGCCTCAAGCTGTTTTCAAATGTTATACAATATGAGGAAACCTTTACTCAACCTCTATACAAGCAAATCTGGCGAAGTTAGTCAGCTACTTATGGCTGTTGGGACGGTTAGGACAAGCTCTTATTGCATATCTTTTTACGCTTCTATAAAACTGTTATCCTGCTGTTTAGTTGTGTGTGAACTTGAAAGGCGTTTACTCAACCTTTACCCGAATATCCAATAATCTCTACACAGCATTCTCTTGACACCAGGTTAAATACTGTTTTCGCTTCTTTTTGTTGGAGGAATTTACCATGTTTATTATACTGCGAATCAAATTAATCGAAATTAGTTATAAGCAACACCACCAAATTATTTACAATGTACCGGAACCTGGAATCGAACTCGAAACGACCGCATTGGTGAACCTTGATATTATCAACTTTGCTACGCCAACACTTTGAACCACAAACGAAGTGACAGACGGAGCTGCTCTAAAACTTTGGTGACTAACCTGCTATTGCAATTTTTCAGTGTACCACATGGCAACACCACTACTACTGGATTGAACCACATGGCAACACTACTACTGGATTGAACTAGCATTTTCACCAAATGTACTAGAATGTTTTGGTTCTATCTCTTTCACTCTACTCAAAACTGAAATGCATAAAAAAATGACAAAATAATACGCACTCTTTGCACACTGTCAAATAATCATTGTACACAAAATCAACTTTGTGCAAAACCAAAACAAAAATACTATCCCATCTGGTGGATGATGGCACAAGCTTCTAAGAAAATTCTATTACAGCGAACCACATTATTTTAATTGATTTCTTCGCCAGTTAGTTGTCTGTCACTTCGTTTGTGCTTTGAACTGTCGTAAACAAATTTACATGCCCTTCTACAACAAGATCGCTGAGTAGCGGCTTTATAATAGTACACATGAATCACTTTTCTCGACTAGTTACTTCAGCTTTGTAAAGAAGCAGAGTAAAAACTGTAAAACTGCACAAGTCTAAAAATAAACCTAGTTGACTGTAAAATAGCTTCCAAAGTAGCGCTAACACAGTTTATTAGTTAATTCAATTCCCATGGCGTTCAAGTGGTCCGCATAGACAATTCACCCATTACCCTTCCTTTATCCTCGGTTTTGGAGTGACTTGCGCTCCCATTGCCCCACCAAACGCTGCAAAATGAAAAAGAAGAGGGAGGCAACAACGCTACATTTTTTTTAATTATACCTTGCTTACGTGTCAGTTCGACTCCGTTTGTTAACTCGTAATAAGGGCCATTGTTGCACACACATTCTGTGATCTTTCAGATGGTATGTGAACACTTTCACTAATGATTCCATATTATTGTAGATAATTTAAAGCCTTACAACTGCTGGAATTAAACAACATGTCTGCACTGGTTCGTGATTAGGGTGTACATGCATTTTGAAACAAATAGATCAACTTGGTGTACTCATCGGTAGCGAAATCATTCCTCTAACTGGTTGTGTTGTGTTGTTAATTTCCAAAATTTTTTTTTTTTTTTTTTTTTTTTTTTTTTTTTTTTTTTTTTTTTAGTTATCCAGTGGCAGCACTTGCTTAAACTCTACACTGGACCCCTTTTATTGATAAATGTTGCTTCTATGAGCCTCTATTTTAAATCAACACACAGACGTTCCTAGGCTATGGTGCCCGTTTGGTCACTGTTGTTTTTGTGCTGATCCAAATAGTTTTGATAATATAATTGCGCAATCTTGTTTTTTTTTTAAAAGGTTGATTTTTGTCCCAGTCTTGTCTTCTGTCGTCACTTATTTTGTCATTTTATCTTGAGTATTAACCCCCACTTGTCTTGTTTATTGTGTCAACTTGTGTCTATTGTCCTTCACCATTTGTTTTTAAACTCGTTCTGTTACTCTGTCATGACTAATTTCATTGATATATAAAAATAGTAATATCAATTACAGGATAATATGGTTGTTTCTCGATTACTTTTTCAAATGGAAGCACCAGCTCCTGCAAACAATGCATCCGATCGTCGATCCGGCGCAACCGGCAGATCGCACACGCCTACCAACACCACTACCAGGTAGAGGAAAATTTCCCTATCTGATGATAGTGCTAGCATGCGTGGGCAAGCCATCAGTTACGCCAAATCGACGACCAAGTAAAACATACATAAAGGTAGATTAGTATTAGTTGTACTTGATCCAAACACTAGAAAGAAGCATAGATAACTTAGTAGGAAAATAAAACTAATATATAACTAGTGCAATGGATAAGTGTTAGTTCCGGGATCATTTTAGTGTTAGTAGTTTTGTTAGTTTTGATCCGTATTCAGTCCTGCCGGCCCCTCCAGCACTATTTGCAGCAATTGTGATAAGATTATGCGACACTGCTACTACTACTATGTTAGATGTATGACTTGTCAATTTTCGCAACGCAATGTCTTTCAATAAATCACTCAATCAATTTGATGTTTGAAAATTTGCTCAAAAGGGTTTTGTTGACACATCATACCTTACCTAAAGCACAACAATCCTAATTCTTATTTCAAACCTATCAACATCTTTCCTAAAACTTTACTTGTTCGTAAGCGTCTGGTTGACATTGACATTGCCTGTAATTAACAAATACACTAAATAGGAAGATTTATTATACAACTTCAAAGGCTAGTCGCCTCCCAAAGCGGACCCCTGCGTCCTATCTCTTATGTTAATTAACTTTCTGAATTCTCTAATTGAAGTTTATTTAATAAATAACTGAAATCTCTAATCTACCTACACAATCATAACCCATGCTTTTAAACTTAAATTTAACGTGTTTCAAGTACTTCTGGCTTTGACATTTATTAATTATATCTTTGTTCGTCCCAGGTGACACCTTCAAGTGACTAAAATGCTTCACTTTGAAGTAAGTTTACAAGCTAATTTTAAATTGTATATTGAATAGGGTAAATGTTCCAATTACGCTCTCACGTTTCCACTATGTCGCAACACAAAAATACATATGGGTATGTCACAATAGAAGCACACCACAGTGGAAATCCCGAGTCATAGTTCAAACACTTATCCCAAATCAAAATGAAGCACATATAAGATTAGTTACAATACCATGTACAAAAATGGTGTTTAACATTGTTCCCTGAGTAATACCTCAATGAAAACAACAATGAAAGCTTGTCACGCAAATAGAAGGAGCACCGATGGGCACTTTCTGAAATATTTCAATAGTATAATTCCCTTGCAAACCCAAATAAATCTATCTGCGTAAAAATAAATAAATTAAGAGTGATTTGCGGCAAAACCCGCCAGTATCACACCCAACGTCAGTGCCTATACGTAAGGGTACTACGACGCGGCTCTCAATCAAAGGTAGTAACAAGTGTGATACTATCACTGCTAGACTAAAAGTTTGGTTCTCTCATGCAGTGGTTTATCAGAGAGGGGAAACTCAGTAATCCCTATTGCCTGCCCATGGCGCCATTCTATCGCGGCATGAGTCAGCAACGCCGGCCATAAACCTACCGTCTCCAACACTCCACTAAAAAGCATGAAATTAAGCCCGCCCACCAGCATCAAGGTGCAAAAACTAGCCAAGGGGAGGGTGCCTGGTTGTTAGTTTCCGAGATTGAGCTTTTATTCGCAAGATCGGCGAGTGACGTGTTTGTTTGCAAAAGCCAAACCAAATCACGAATCAGTATGGATGTGTGTTATGTTTGCCACCTCTTGCTACCAACTTTCTATAGTTAAATTTTCTTATGCAGATCTTCGAAACAGGTGTGAGCAATTTGGATATCGGATATTAAAGAATGAACTCAAGAATTATCAATAAAACTGTACACTTATGTATGGAATTTCTGAAATTAATTGCAACCGCTTTAAAGCAATTCATACGTTTATGTCTGTGCTATACTACCCATAATCACATATCAGTCCCATCTTTGCTTGATTTCCTATCCATATGGGACTGATATGCGATTATGGGCAGTATATGACCTACACTATGTTGCTATTGGATTACTTGGTCACTATTCATATTCGGAAATGAAATCTGAACGCAATATCGAAGCCGTAAATTGCTCACCCATGGTGACTGATGTTTTCGAGGAGGACCGTCCCGGAAGATGCAGCAAGCAATCGGCTTCCACAATACTCTTGAGACGACTACTGATCTGCCTTCCGATTATTTTAGCATAAAGCTTATCATTTTTCGAAACGATGCTGGCTCGAACAAATTCTGGTCTGGGATCCAAATCAAAATGTTCAGTTAGAAGCTGAAAAAAAATAGACAGTAGTTTTCAAAACAACAGTAGGTAATCGAAAGCACGCGAAAGCTTACCTCAACAGCTACTCTAGACAATGTACATTTAGCCGTGCCACCTGGGGTTTCGTTTATGGTGGCCAAATATTTTCTCAATGCTGGCAACGCAAACAGATGGAATGTGACAAATGCAGAAACCGGATTTCCAGGTAGACCGAAAAATAAAGTTTTATCTTTACTTGCGAATGTAAATGGCTTTCCCGGTTTCATGTTTACTCGCCCAAACTTCAAATCGAATTTCAAATCCTTCAAGACAGGTTTTACGAAATCTTTGTCACCCATTGACACTCCACCAGTACAAATGATGGCATGTACTACCCCGGTTAGAGCTTGAACTTCTTTGCACAGAGAGTCGTAGCTGAAAAAGGTAACAATTTTAATAAGGCGAACAATTGATGGAATGACTTTCGAACATACTCATCATTGACAACGAGCTGTTGCATTTCACATTGCTCTTCGTTGAATCCAAATTGTCGTATTAGCTGAACTAGCATCGTGGTATTAGAATCGTAAATTTTCCCTTCGACTTGGTTTGATCCTTCGTATGGATGGACAAGTTCATCTCCTGTTGAAATAACCACTACCTTTAGTTTTTCTACTTTCGGTGGTTCACCGATTGACGCTAGTAATGATTTTTGAGCAGCATCCAGCGGAAATCGGTATTCAAATACCTCCTCAGCCATTCGCAGGTCGCTGCCAATAGATCGAATGTCCAGATTTGGACTGGGATCAGCAAGTACCTCGATAATTTTCTCAATGTCATTATCAGCAGAAACCAGTTTTGTGTCTTCAATTTGAATCACTGCATCTGCTTGTCCAGGTACCGGAGCACCTGTGTTTATCTTGTAGCACTCATCAATGTTGAAATTGTCACGGATTATACCGTTACCGGCAGGCACATATCCAACGACTCGTTTAACTCCTTTTCCACCTATTGACTTCAAAGCATACCCATCTTTAATCGAAGCCCGAAAAGGAGGAATGTTGATCCGGCTGATTTGCTTCTTTGGATTGGACTTCGACGCAATAGAAGCGAGAATAATTCGAAGCGCTTCATCTACATCGATCATGGGAAACGGAGAGTTTCGATCGTCTCCACCTTTACCCGTAGCGTGGGGACAAACGTGCACGTGTTCGCTGCTTTCTTCTGATTGTATTTTCTTGTGCGTTTCCTTAACCTTCGGAATGTCGTCATTTAAAAGCTGCAACATGTGGGGTACTACATCCACGATAGCGAGAAAACATTCTTCAACGGCCTTTTTGCTGCCCGGAAAATTCACAATCAATGTACGGTTACGTACCCCACAAGCCGCCCTGGAAAGAACTGCAAATTTTGTTTTCTCCAAACTTTTTAACGTCATTGCTAGTGTCAGTTGAGGAGCCTCTTTGGTAAGGACAGCTTTAGTTGCCTCCGGAGTCACATCACGAGGAGCGAAGCCTGTTCCTCCAGTGGTGAAAACCGCACTTACTCGAAGAACGTCAGCGGCATAGATAAGAGATTGCTGAAATGATTGTGAATAAATCCCGTGGACGTTGCTTTTTTATCTATATGAACTGACCTTAATCATTTCGACTTCATCGGGAATGACCAAGTAGTTGACGTCCGAGCTGTTCAGTTTGCTTTTAATCAAACTAACGAGATGTGGTCCACTCGTATCGTTAGCAGTGCCATTCGAGCAAGTGTCACTTACTGAAATCAAACATTAATTTGAATATTTAATTTACCTAAGTTGCGTGTTTCTGATCACGCGTTGGTAGATGGTTGGATTTTCTAGGACGATATTGATTTAAAATTTGGAGGGTTTCCCGGATCAAATCTACACATTTTAAATTTTTTAAAGCCAACTTTCAACCAGAGGCTAGTTTATTTCCTTGGAAATTTACAGCTTAGAAATCTATTGGCTCTAAAGATTTGTGCACTTGAAATTGAGAAATGTGATTGGAAAAGGGACTCCTCTGCACATTTAAAATCCGAATCGCACCCAAAGTGCATTACAATTGGCATAGACGGTGGAGATCTAAATACAAATTAAAAAAGCAGTTGGGAACAGATCGGATGAAAAGTAGCCAAGTTACTAAAAAGTGACCTGCTATCAGCCCTGAGAAGGTATACGTAAATACATGTAACTCCCTGCTAATCACTGAACTGTACCAATGTAACGGATTTCATTTACGTCCATACGGTAATTGCTTGCATGATTCTCACATTTTTCTTTCCTTACTACCTAACATGCAAGTACGAACCAACTTCATATTGTAAAATATCGTATTACCGAGTCGAACAGGAAACTATCAGAGGAAGTACGTAATTTGATAGGTTACATACATTCAGTAATGTTACAAAATCGTTGACTTTTGGCCATTTTATTGCAGCATTTAGAAGCTGCAACTATGTTGTGCGCAGTTCTCCAATAGAATGGTGAATGGCCTAGTTGATGACCTTCGCTTAAGTTCTAACAAAGCTATGATAGTAGCTCATGCTAATAGTCGGAATTGATCACCTTTAATTGAATTAAACAGCAGAATTGCACGTACCTGTGATAACAGAAAACATGATTCTCTGAAGCAACAAAACACACCGGGAAATGGTTACCTGTCCTTGCACCTATGGCAAACTAGTTGATAAGAAACGATTATTTCAGTGCCAACATTTCAAAGAGGCGTAATTGCTTTAGTAAACAATGGCTTTAGCCGTCGATTTCTCGCAAATAAAAGCTCACTCCTCCAAATTAACCATGATATGAACAATGAAACATTCTTCTATCTGTTGGTGTAATCAATTTTTATGAGTGAGCTTTTATTTTCGAGATATCGACGGCTAAAGACATTATTTACAAATGCAATTACGCTCCTTTGAAAGTTGGCAGTGATTTATAAAAACTGTTATCAGTCAACCGTCAATATGTCAACAGATTGAACTGTTATACATTTGTGTCATTTGTATAATGTTTATTTTGGAAGCAGGTTTGTGTCTTTCTTAGCTTGTATAAAAATACGACTCCAAATGCGACCCTGTTTATCAGACATTGTTTTGCGCGCAATATTTGAAAATGGACTAAATATTTTTGAATGCTATCGAATATAAGTATCTTTCAAGCTGGACTTTATGAGTTATACATATAAATCAGCAAAAACTTAAAAGAGTATTCATATAAATCCAAATGCTGTAAATTATTTGCATGATTCATTTGTGATACGTGAGTAATCAGCCTCTGAATTCTTCATTTTAAAATAGTTAGGTGCTTTTTACATGTTTTTCTCGTTGTATCTAGCTTTTGACGTTTTCAGCTTCTTCCATCAGAAACATTCTCAACAAGAAACAAATTCAATGAAGAAGAAACGTAAACAGAAATTTGCGTTCGTGTGCAAGTATAGTAAAATTTCAGTCATAAACAGTCATTCGTCGTGAAAGGCACGAGAAAATTAACCATCGCGGCCGCAATTTAAAAAATGTGAAGAACACTCATCAAGTGCAGCTTTTGCCCGTCCTCGTAGATTATTGTATTCCGGTAGCGTGTTAAATTTTAAGTCCTATTTAATTATTTAAATATCTTAAGAGTAAGAATAGCATCGCAATGAATCAAGAGATTCGTATCAAGACGAGACACTTTTACGCCGTGCTAGTGATATTAGGCTTCCTGCTAATCTATAGCTTAAGTTTCAACCGAGGCTGTGATAGCACCGATCAAGAGCACACGGTTCTACAATCGCTCAAGAGCCGGGAAGCTTTTATTCCTAACCAGAAGGGACCAACCATCTATGCTATAACGCCGACGTATGCAAGACCGGTACAGAAGGCCGAACTAACCAGGTATGAGTGGCGATTTCAATGTATTGATCTCTTATTCTCTTTACCGCAAGATAAAGTTCATTGAATGAAAACTTAACCGCTGAAAGAATGGCCTTGAAAGAGTAGTTCTCGAGAGACTTCTCGCTCGATTGAAGATGAATATAAATTGACGTAGGTAAACGCAAAAGTTAATCTCATTGTTATTCACTTGCAGGTTATCACACGTAATACGCCTCGTGCCGAATGTGTTTTGGTTGATCGCTGAGGATGCAGATCATACATCTGAGCTGGTGGCGAGTCTGCTTCGTAGGAGTGGCCTGCAAGACAGAAGTGTTCAATTGTCTGCCAAAACACCGACAAATTTCAAGCTGCAAGGAAAAGATCCCAACTGGCTAAAACCTAGAGGTGTAGAACAGCGCAATAAGGCTTTGGAGTGGGCTAGAAGACACATGGTCGAAAATGGGGGACGTGAAAGGCATTCTGTTGTCTATTTCATGGACGACGATAACACATACAGTACAGACTTATTTGCAGAAATTTCTAAAATCGAGCGCAATAAGGTAAGGGAGGTTGCTAGCAATGATGTTTAGAAAGAAAATTTAATGTCTCTAAAACGGGTTCAATATTTTAGGTTGGCGTATGGCCCGTTGGCCTAGTCGGAGGGTTAATGGTCGAGAAACCGGTACTGAATCGAGATGACATCGTGCTTGGGTTCAACAGTGCCTGGCGTCCGGAGAGACCTTTCCCCTTGGATATGGCTGGGTTTGCTATCAGCTCGGATCTCTTACTGGATAATCCCCAGGCACAATTCAGCTACGAGGTGGAACGTGGCTACCAGGAAAGCGAAATCCTACGGCACCTGACCATCGTTCATGAGATGCAACCGCTGGCTAATAAATGCACGGAAGTGCTGGTGTGGCACACTCGCACAGAGACACCCAAACTTGATGCCGAAAAAGTGCTCTTGAAAGCTGGCAAACGTTCGGATGTTGGATTAGAAGTTTAAGAAGAGTTACACCTAAGTAGGAGTGCTATTCACTCGGAAGGGTTTTAACTAACACAGTCAAAGTTGACGCAAAACATGTGTGGCTTACAAAAATGTTCAACAATAGTTTGAAGCTGACTGGTGCAGTGATTATGCGCTTCGGTACCCGGTACTGTCCATTAATTAAATTTAAATCGAATTAAAACAGATAAACTGTCGTAAAGGTTTGCACACTAGTTTTCCTACTTCTCATTAATGATAAAACTATTGTAGGTATTTATAAATTATGCTCATTTACGTAGGGTACAGCGCTACTTCATCGTAATCGCCTATTTCCGTTCTATCGAGTAGAATACATAAATAATATCAATGATTTCACCGTGCACAAATCAATAATACGTTTGTTCCGATACGTTAGTTAAAAAGCTACAACACAAAGCCTATTAGAGCGCACGGTATGATTATTTACATCCATTGTTCTAGAAAACAAAAGATGCGCTCCTAGCGAATCCATTTTTGCTGCCTTCAACCGTATGACGAAGAAAATCCAATGGAGTTTAAATGCGTTTGGGCGTAATTGAAAGTCGTAGGACGAGTTTGGAATGAAGCAGCTGTTGCAGATTTTTAACAATATCTCAACAATCTCTGATTCTTTATCAAATCGAAAGGTACATATGGATAGGGAAATCAATTTAGAAGTCATCTTTAGTAGAATAATTCCGTGTTTTTGTTCAAATTTGATCGAAGAACAGAGGTAAAGCGCGGGCTGTGCTTAGGACGGGAATTAGACCAAAAACCCTACCAGTATTATTTTACCTAACACCACTTTGATATATGCATCCATATTATAGAAAAGTAACTTATTTCTATATGTTTTACCATTTTCGAACTGATCCAGTGTTTGAAAAAGCTGTAAAGACCAATAAGTTGGTATTGATTTTTTGCTCACATTTATTAGTTTTTTTTTTTCGAGAGCTGACTGCACTCGTTAATCTACACTGTAAGTTCAATCGATTATTAGGTAACTATACAGAACTACCATCCCATCTTCCGGTAAAGTCTAAAATTTTGCTTGTAGAACGTAAGTAATATGATAAATGAGTTTTCAATACATTTTTTACATTAATTAAATCTTCCCTGTTAACCTATAAGATGCCAATTTGAAATACATAAATAAAATCGTCCTTAGACATTAATTTGACACAATACGTTAAATCACAGGCCTGTATCATACTATCGGAATACCAATGGATCTGACACTAACTCTGTACTACCAAAGTCATTAAAATGTTACTTTTTTTTCAAACTGAAGACCACCTAGTAATCGGATCAGCCGTTGATCGGTCACGTGCTTCAAAATGAGACAATACATTTTCTCTCTGCATGTGTAGATGCGTTACCGATATCATAGTTTTATTTGCCGAATCTCGGATTTTTTTTCCGAGATTTGCACAGCCGAGTGCTCGGCAATAAGTTTCAAGAAGATCTCAGCAAACATGATGTTTGTTTGCAGAGATTCAGCAAAAAATATTCCGAGACTCAGCAACCAAACTTCACTTTTGCAGAGATCTCGGCAAAATAAGTTTGCCGGGAGCTCGGCTGTGCAAATCTCGGCATAAATTACCGAGATTCGGCAAATACATTTAAGGTGCGTGGGAGATCCTTTTTCTCGTAACCACTTTGAAACTTTAAGTGCACAAATGTCAGCTTCCACGACACGTACCACAATGAAACTGTTACTGCTCGTTTGCTATACTGCAGCATGCATGAAGTAGCAACTTTAGGTGAAATGGAGCATCAATTTCCGAGATTTGTGTAATTGAAAATTCGAAGTGGATGTGCATGTACAGCCTACGTGGTGGCCATTTGTGGACTCTACAAGGAATCACCTTAAGTGTGCTTCCCAGATCCAGCAGTAGCGCAAGTACTCCGTAGAAAGCCAGATTCGTCACGAAGTCTACCGCGCTGTTTATGAGACTGGTCACAGATTTAGCGCCCTGCATCTGGCACGAGAAAGCAACTAGTTGAACTGCAAGCTGTCAAATACGTGGCTGATGCGAGGTGATCTCTTCTCAGAGACCAAAGAATAACAAAAATCGTATGTTTCGATGATTTGTGACGATAAAATCATAATAAGTGTTCAACTGAGATCATCGATTATGATTTTTGTAACACATTATAATCAGCAACAAAAACGATAATTCACTGATATTAGAACAATAACTGTGCAATATATCTCGAAATCTTGACCATCTAAGAAATGGCATTTTCAATGAAAGATCTCAAACGATTTTTACAGAGATACTTCTGCCACTATCATCGGATGAGAAAACGGTTGTGGTACTTGTAACGTGCAAATCTTAAAATTATATTCACTCTACCGATTACACACTGTTGTTTGCCTAAATGTATCTAAATCAGTTGTTGTCAATATCGAATTATAATCATTTTCATGAGTGCTTGATAATTGGGAAATTACGAAAAGTCATGATAGGCAGTTTCGTCTCGTTAGTAGATTTGTTAACGTACTTGCTTTTTCGCTTTTGCTGTAAGTTGCTGTAAGGTAATAATACAGGAATCCCAGATTTGCGCGGTGGATGGTGCCGTCTATCCGCCACCATCAGTCAACCACAGTCTTTCAACCAAGATTCAGATAGCCTAAACCTTTCGATTGGTGAGTAGATTAGTTCATAATTCTGTCACTATGTGGTACATTTTTGCAGCGCTAGTGTGCATGTCAAATTTCCTAGTGTAATATACAACGAGATCCTGCATACATGGGAAGTTGCTGAGTTCGGCAAAGGTGTTCAGCTAGTCCAGGCCTTGTAAATTGTACGCAGATTAGTTGACAATTCTGTTTGTAGAAAGCCTTATAGCGAATTCGTTTATTATTCAGTTCCAACCTGGATCGGGTATCAAGATTGGGTCTGCTTGTTTTCTGACAAACGTCAGTTTGCTCGTTTGTTTTTAAAACATAGCTCAGGTTGAGGTTCGCACTGACAAATAGTTCGGTTTCGCACTGGGTTGGAACTGGTTCCAACCCCGATAATAAACGAATTCGCTATTAGTTACCTGAATAATTTTGTCTCGAGAGAAATACCGGCTTTGTTTTTAGTTCATTGAGACATTCTATACAAAAGCGGACAAAGGTAATGCAGTAGTGATTTTGGACAAAGAGGACTATGACAATCGGATGACGGAAAAAATTACTATTGGCCAATACAGGCAGTTGAGGATTGACCCCCTCCCATCTATGGTTAAACATGTGGATAAAACGTTGAAATAGTGCAAGGCGTTTATTGGCAACACTACGAATCATTTGAAAGTTTCAAACCCTTTTCTATCTTAGATCAAAGGTTTACCAAAGATTCAAAAACCAGGAAACGAAATGAGGGAGATTATCTCAGCTGAAGGATCCCCAACTCATAAGCTTGCCAAAAGGCTAGTAAAGGAATTTTACCACAGCACACAGGAATTCGCAAATCAACTTCAGGCACCAGGAGAGATTCGGGAAGATGAAGTCATAGTTTCATTTGATGTCACAGCACTTTTTCCGAGTGTACCAGTAAAGGAAGCCATCAGCCTTTTAGAGGACTGGCTACTGAAGCAACATGAGGATTACTACTTGGAAAAAAAATTTGGCTCATATCTCAATCTTACTCGTCTTTGTATGGAGGAAAATTATTTCATTTTCAGAGAAATTTTTTATAAACAATCTAAAGGAGCTCCTATGGGCTAACCTAGAAAATACTCTGGAGGATAGGAATTTGTTGCCCAAATGTTGGTATAGGTACGTGGATGACATTTTTAGCATTGTCAAAAGGGAAGATTTATCAAAAACTTTGGAGGCCATAAGTAACGTTCACAAGGACATCAAATTTACTCACGAAGAAGAGAGAGACGGTAAACTCCCTTTCTTAGATCTTCTCATCATCAGGGAAACGTCTTCGTTCAATTTCGAAATCTATAGGAAATCAAAAAATACAAAGAGAGTAATACCAACAATCAATACGAAACTAACGATTTTAAATTGGCTCACTACTTGACTAGCCTATTGGTCCCAAGCAAATCGATTAATGTACCCCATTCTAGTCGAAATTCTAATACTACACAATGTTTGTTTTGATTCGCTATGAAAGTTTGACAGATAAAATGAGGGGTTAATGGATTTTCCTATGTTTCGAGGGGTGCATCGATTAGCTTGGGACCGAAGAGAGTGCCAGAGCTGAGCCAAAAAGTTGAACACGTTTCTTCGGAACCTTCTGGTCTTAGAGTTACCTTTATGGTAATACCAACTGGTGGAAACTAACATTTTAAAACTGGCTCACTACTTGACTAGCCTATTGGTCCCAAGTACATCTATAAGCGTCCCCATTCTAGTCGAACTTCTAGTACTACACTATGTTTGTTTTGGTTCGCTATGAAAGTTTGACAGATAAATTGAGGGGTTCGTGGATTTTCCTATAATTGAGGAGTGCATCTGTCAAACTTTCATAGCAAATCAAAACAAACATTGCGTAGTACTAGAATTTCGACTAGAATGGGATACGTTAATCGTTTACTTGGGACCAATAGGCTAGTCAAGTAGTGAGCCAATTTAAAATCGTTAGTTTCGCATTGATTGTTGATACAATGCTGAATAAAACGGGTTGTCAAATTATGTGCTGAAAAAACCTCATTAAGGCTGTGAAACATTTGCCGAGTTAAATTTAACTCGTGGTTAAAAGTGACATTTCGAAATTTTATATATAAATTTTATTTTATATGTTCGAAAATCCCCGTGCTGTCGATCGACCAGTTTTCGAGCCACGGTTGTCAAAATTTAACTTCTTGTCGGTCAGAAATAACCATGCTCGGATAGCAGGGTTAATCGATAACTTTCCATCTGTCAAATTTTAACCTAAAGTTAAAATCAGAGTTGATAATAGAAGAGTTACGCAGAGTGAAGCTTGCAACACTGATGTCCATCAATGGGCATTTTTATTATTTTGGCAACCTTTGTTTTTGTTTACACCTCGGATGACTTCACCTGGGTTGTGAAAGTTTTCTCTAGTTTCGATAACAATACTTCCCACGCAACAGAGTCAGCTTGTCTACTACACGGTTAGAAAAAAGTACCCAAAATTAAGTTATTTTCACTCATCTCGGCACTATAATCACAAACGAAGTGACAGACGGAGCGGCTCGAAATTTGATTTGACGCACTTACATTTGAAATTTTTGAGTGTACCTCACGGCAACACTATCTACTCATACGTACTAGCTTGAAGTAGTTGATGATATTGATTGTACCCACCTGTTATCTCTTTTTCTCTAACGAAAATTGAAAGGGAGAGCCTGTTGTCAGACAGCATGACATTATGTTGCTTTCGTTGTTATCTGGCCCAACATTATCAGGGGTGAATACTTCGGGTTAACATTTGCTTAGAAGTAAACGATGTTGAGCAGTCAATGACTCGCGCTTGTTGGCGGCAATTGTTGCTACAGATTTCATCAGTCCGTGCTTCTAACCAAAGCCACAGTCATCCGCGACCGAGAAGACATCGACGATTATTTCAAAAGAAAAATAGTTAGCTTGCTATTAATTTTTGAAATTTAAATTTCTTTTGTTTTATTTGGTTTTTCTTCTACTAATTATTTATTTTATTCGACACACTGTTCTTTCCGTCGCGTAGTTCTATTTTAATGCTACTGTAATGTAATCCATCAGGGCTATCGAGCAGCTAAATGTGTTCCAACATGTCGCTCCAGTTGATGATACTGAAGTTATCCAGAGGACGGCGCGTGGTGGCGTGACACTTTAGCAACTCCGTATAATCGCATTTGGAAACGCCTTTTCCGGATCCCGTAAAATAGGCCTATCCAAGCGACAATTCTTGGCATCGATGCGAATTATGTATTTTAGGTAAACCACACAGCTTCTTCTTCATCGCTTCCCTTCTGGCATAAAGGGAGGATCTCATGGATCAGCATTGGGTCATAAGCAGGTCTTTGTGGGGAATGGTATTTGATGCCTTATGGGGAAATTTATTCGATCGCTTCGAAAGTTATTGATGGCACCTGGGAAACCTTGAGTCAATAAAGCGCGGTATTTTATTTAAAAAGATATTGAAACAAGTAAATAAGTATGTGTGATATGAATGTTTATACC